GAGGGTTCTGTTTCCCCTTTTCCAGTCAGTGGGTACTTCACTGGACTGCCAGGACTTCTCAAATATGATGGAGAACGGCTTAGCACTTCATCCGCCAGTTCCCTCAGGACCTGTGGATGCATCTCCTCAGGTTCCACGGACTTGTGCACCTTCAAGTATAAATAATTCTCTGTAATTTTAATATTAAAGTACAATCCCATTATATCCAGTGAAGAAACCCAACTTCTGGCAACGTAAGTGCTACATGATGTTGAAGAAAGAATTCTTTTATTGCCAAGACAGAAGCATTATAAAAAGTAAAAAATGATAAGTTATAAAATTATAAAAATATCTAAAAGAGTAAAAGTCACAACTTTCTTACCTTGAACTTTCTTGAAAACTCTTGTATTCATAAACTTTAAAAATCTGTCTGCATAAAAGCTTGGTCTGTGAACTGAAACAGTGTCCTACAAGGTTGAAAAAGGTTTCAATCACATTTTCCATTCGTAAATCGCAAGTAAATTGCCACGAAATAAGCTGGAAAACCTCAGGTAAACTGTATCATACCTTTCAGGCATACTCAAAACAAGTGAATCCTACAAGTTTTTCAATTTTAAAGGTTAATTCTTCAAGAACTTTTCTTAGGTATTTCATTTATGAAATTGTAAGTTTGAATTACACAGCCATATTCTGCAAGATGTCCCTAGCATTTGAAATGCTTTTTTTCACATTATGTAGATTTTTCAGTTACAGATTCATCAATATCCTCTTAAGCGGCCATTGTCCTTTGTTAGTTATAAGGACAAACTGATCAATTTTAGTTGCTTTCTGAAAGATGAAAAAAAATCAGAGCATATATTGAGAAATGATCTAAAAGATTTCAGCAACAGCCCAAACCATGTGGTGATAGCAGACTACAAATACACCGGAGTTAGCTCTTTCCTGGTTGACATAAGTCAAAGTTCCATTAGCTAAAATATAAGCAGTTAAAAAAAATTAAAATAAAATGTACTTACTCCATCATAAACAAGAGCTTTCCAAGAATGTTCCAGCTTCTTCATTAACCTAACCATATAAAACAAAATCAGAACTGCTTTATAAAGTTTCCACATTTGTAAGTAATTTCAGAATAGCTTACTGAAAAACTTTAAATTCAACTTACCTGTAAGACTGGAGAATATCAATAATTCCCATGAATAGAAGCAGCTTTTCTCCTTTATGGCTTCTAGCTGGAATACCTCCCATTCTGAGGGAAACAACAAAAATGTAGTTAGATTATCTTTTAAGACATCTCTGATCATTAGTTAGCAGGTGAACAGTACCCACCTGCAAACCCAAAGAAATAGGCACAACATTAAAGCTAGATATCATAGTGCAAAGTCAGTCAAGTGTGGGTCATTCAGCATACAACTGATTTTAAATAGCAAACCTAAAGTATGTGGGATCCAGTGGTAAATACCCATTATAAACAAAGAGTATTTTAGGATAACTTTTACATAGAATTGTAAATATTTAGATGGTCTGAAAATTGGAGAAAAGTATACCTTAGTTTATTACTAAGGAAAATAAATAATTTTGCCCAGCTAAAGGAGAATTTTGTCACTTTAGTGGTCACATGTAACAAAACTGTACAGAGCCTACACATTACTCCAAGTCTGAAAAGCTTCTTTTGTATATTTTCTACTAAAAATTAAGTATGTGCTTTTCCAAAATTTCTTTACAGACAGATTAGTGACTGAAAAAGTAATAGTATCAAGCTGAGAAGCCTAACTGCCTAGATCTCCACTTGGTTCAGAGTATTTACTAGCCATGATCTTAAAGAACAAGGTGCTCATCCTAAGACTCTCTTTTCCTACTCCACCACCTAGAAAGAAGGGTTTGTTGTTTGTAAAATTTTCAGTTTCTCAGCTTTTGTTGACATTGATGGACCCACTACAAAACTGGAAGAAAAAAAGGTTGAAGATGCAACACATGCAATACCTTCAAATGTTTTTTAAGAATTGAGAAACAAATACACACCTGAAACATCTACCAAAGACATAGCTGGGAGTACATTCCCCATTCTGCCACTAAAGCACAGTAGTCTCTTCCCCTGACAAAACAGGGCTACCATCTACTCAAACTTGCCCTGCACCCCAGGGGAAGTTTATTATTCTAGGCACAAAGGAAACCATGTAAGAACAAATGGAGTTAAAATTACTGTAAAACCCCAGTACTGTAAACTCCAGCTCAATTAACTGGTCAGACATTCAGAAGTGTTAAGTGGCTTACAAAATTATATTCTGTCAGCCTAGAGGACTTTTTTCTAAGACCTAGGCTTATTTTCATCCACCTCAGTGAGGTTTCACACACTACCAGTTATGTCAATACGAGAAAAGAGATCATGCAAGGGGCCAAGGAAGGACTCAGCTGCTGCAGTAGGCTTTCAGCAGCAGTACTACACTGTTCAGGCAACACTACATTAGCTCAAGCAATGTAGGAGCCCGAGGTGGGTTTCCATACATAATAACCACAGGGACTTTGAGTGATGTATATAATTGGCTTTGGCTTTTAGTTAAAAAAAAAAAACCAAATCCCAATACCCCCCAAAACCACCAGTGCAATACCTCTGTCACCATACAAGAACATTCACCATCTTCTGTGTGAATGGGAGTAATGCTGTAAAAAAAAAATCAGTGAAATTCAGCTCTGTCTAATTTATATTCTAGAGCTCTGAACATCCGGAAACTCTCTATAAATGCTAAATATCATCATTCTCCCATTTGTTTGCTGTGGGTTTAAGCACACGTTTCTATATCATAAGTTGCATTTGGCTAGACAGGTCCCTTGAGAATCAGAAGAGTAAATCCTTAATTTGAAATTAAACCCTCATTATAATGAAGGACTGATTATATAGAATGAGAATAGTAAATGTAATGCTCTCACTATCACTGAATGCATTTCAAAGGAAACAACAGAAGAACTACCACCTATATACTTAAATTTCTACTGCAGTTTTCGCTAGATAGGAAAATAAGAGAAACGCAGCAGTTCTTAATCTCAGGAAATATCATACATCAATATGACTGCAACATAATTCTATGTATTGAGTATACTACTTTGAGATAAAAATAACCACTGTAGGAATATCCATTTCAATGTTAATAAATAGTTTGTGCTTATGGTTCATCAGGCTGCTTCCAGTTAAAATTAGATTATACCTGGGACTCCTATAATAGCTGTCTCCTAACATCTCTTTTATAAATGAATGCACTTCTGCATACATAAGTCACTCTGAACTAACTAAATTTGCTATCATGTATTTAAAGATGATCAATCTACTAATCAACATCTTAATTTCCTGTTCTGCAGCAAGTCTTGACGGTCCAGCTTTTGGAAAAAAAGAAAAAAGGCTTACTCTTTCAATTTCTGAAATGCAGTGTCGTCTTGAAAGTTTTGCCTCTTAATACCAAGTGGCACAGACTGAAGAAACAGAATGTGCAAGTTTTAAGAGCAACCATAAGAGCAGCTTATGGCACTTACGTGTTTGTTGTCTCTGTGGGGACGGAGTCTCCAGACTTCCCAGGGCCCTGTATAGACTCCATGGCTGTGGAATACAGAACTTTCTGCCCTCCAGGACGTTTTGCATCCAATGTGCTCTGGGAACTCTCTCCCTCTTTTTCCTTCAGGTTATTGTTCAGTATGTGGATTCCCAGTAACAGACTGTAATCCATGATCTTAAAACTTTCTAGAACCTATCAAGAAAGAAGAAATGGCTGTATTGAAACAAAAAAAGACTACGTACAATATGAATTACACAGCAGAATTTTGAAAACCTAAGTAAACACAGGCCTTCAAAGCACAAGTTTCTCTTATTAGGAAAATGTGTGAAATTATAATTAAACAAAAATCTTTCCTACTCCACATAAGTCAAAGTGCTAGTTACCGAATTAACTCAATGCTCTTGTTACAAGTGGGAAAGAAAGATGCATAGCTGAAATGTAACCTAATGTTATTTTGTAGTGAGGGAAGACAAGTGCAGTCAGCACCTTTTTTATTTATAGCAAAAAATCAATTAATAGTTCCACCATATACTTATGAACTACAGACATTAAGGTCACCTCTAAAGCATATTCCAGACTTTACTGATCATTTTTGCCTAGACTACTCTCTACCTCCCCTCCACCTCCTGCTTATAACTGAGAAAGTATTCTTGGACAACTCTCAAATGTCAAAAAAAGTATTTGCTACCACCCTCTCGTTAACAGCTGATGGGATTTGGCTACCAAAATCATGCATCCCTCTGTTAGGCTAAATAGGGCCTATCTACGCAGTTTTATTTCTGAAGCATGACTTAACCAACCAGCCTTCTCTTCTAGTTTTTACCAACCATTTTTACCTCTGTCAGTAGGCAAGTTCCCTTTCTTCTTGCATGCTCATGTACTAAGTTTCTAGTCACTTACATCATTATGAAGTCTGGCATACTGCCATTAAAAGGAAAACCAGTTCAAATCAATATGCAAAGGTGAACTAAAACAAGCTGTGATCATATCCATCTAGTAATATAACCAAACTGTCAGCAGACAGCTAAATATCTTATATAACAGCAGTGCAAAGTAGAGGGAGAAAAACTGGTAGCAAGCAGGAAGGATATGCTGTGCCACTCACCTCTCATTTACCTCATGCAGCTCAGCAATGATTCATGACATGTTTTAGCACACAATGGCCTAAGATAGTGGTGTAATTTTTGGCACAGAATCAAAAGGCAATAGTACATGTTTTTACGTGAACGAGAACAAAATGTGATTTTGCAGACATGACAAAGAGCAGTAACTCCAGGTATGTCGTTTTGATGAAGACTATCAAAGTATAAATATTTTACACAAAACACTGAGATGGCTTGTGAACTCTAAGACACAATTTGCAAATTCAAAATGAGATTTGTTAGCAATCATCAGGAAAGGTCTAGTGGTCTGCAAAATGATGAGGAGGAAAATGGAGGCTACTACTTAACACATCCCCAGAGATAATTATATACTTGGACATGGAAGTTAAAGTCAAAGAAGTAGGAAAGCTCTGTTCCTTGCCATCTGTGTTTCTTATGTACTTACTACATTAAGTAGAAGCCAACTGTGGAATACAACTGAATTCTTTTCTATCTCCGGCATTTATCTTTCATAAGGAACATGATGTCTTAATTTTAGCACCATTGTAAGCATTTAAACTGAAGAAACAAAGTATAACACACTGTAATCTAAGTGTAGAAGGGCATAGCCTCATTCTGATTTCCAGACACAAAGGAGGAATTTAGAAGACATGGTAGATTTGAACTTGCTCCAAGTAATCCTGCACAGGGGTAGGTTAGTTCAAATGGAACAAGAAAAAGGCTGCTAACATATGGCCCTCAGTAGTCAACAGCATCCTCTGATGACAATTCACACAGGGTTTCAGGAAACAATGAAAAAGCATATTCTAATTACCATACAACAAGATAACGAAATTTTATTGCACATTCTGTGGGACTGTTGGTGGCTAACAGCTTCCTGTTTTTTTTGGTTGTGAAGTCCAAAAATAGCACAGCTGACAGGCACAAAGGCACAGACACTTGGTGCCAAACAAGTTCTAGAATTTTCTTTACTGCTTATTGCTACCCTTTACTCAGACTTCCTCTGAAAGAAATTACTATATAATCTTTTCATTAAAAATAAGTAATCAGTGGATGCCTGCCACCAAATATTGAAAGTAGATTCTGGGTAGGCTGGAAAAAAACCAAAAAACTTTCATCCTCTATAAAAACACTCGCTTTAGTAGTACAGTCAGCAACACTGTTTATGCAAAGCCAGACTGACAGCAGCTAGTCAGGCCTGGAAAAAGCATTGCCACTTTTATTTTACAGTTATAACTGCTGACAGCTCTGCCTTCAACCTATTCTTTACCGCCTTTTGAATTAGATTACATTAGACACATTATGATTTAACTGCACTAATTACATAACTCATGTCTAGGATTGCATGTAGCCTCATGGAAGGCTGTGGTATAATGTGCTGCTTCTTCCACAGGGACCTCTTATGTGATAAAACCAATCTTTCTGACTGCATCAATTCACCACTGTCACTTAAACACATACTACTTGTATTACGCAATGGACTAAAAAATCTCTATTTGTGACTTTGTTCTAGGATTACTAAAAAACATCATAAAAACAAGTAGCTGTTTTGTTATTCCAGTTCATTATGAAATCGAAACACCAGCACATCCAATGGATTAACTGCAGTACATATTCTTCATAGCATATGAACTCTGGCCCTTGTACCCTGGATGCACTATTCATGGTCCTACTCAGAGGCACGATTGTCCAGTCTACAAAGCATCTTCAGGACATAACATGATCTGCCCCTCTGTCTGCCTACTGGTTTGATATACAGTTCTGATTACCTCCCCTTAGAAATTTGATAACCAAACCAGCCACTCCTTATGCAAATGCACATCTTTTGACCAAATCTAAGCATGTTTTTACTCCCCTGTTTGTTCCTAAGGAAAATTCTGATAAGAATAATTAAACAGAGTAACAAGGAAGAATCTCAAACATCAGCATTCAATAAAAACTTACTTCATGTCAAACTCTTCAGTCTGTATTAAGACTGAAATTTTACTTCAGTCAGTGGGATTTCCAGCTGAATATATCTGAAGGGTTCTCACGTATGTATCATCGTTAATATTTAAAACATCAAATCATGATTATTTTTTAATGAGTAAGTAACATTTTGCACACATAGTTGTACAAATTAAATCTGGTTTGCCAAGGAAGACTTACAGAACGCAGCACATCAACCTATTTCTGAACATGCAGTATCCTATGAGAATACAAAAAAGTCTAAGCCCTTTCCCAGGTCAAGGGTTGCTTGCAAGTAGCTTTGACAATTTTAGATGGAACTGCTTTTGAGAAGCAGCAGCATGTTTTTGCTACAAAGGTACCAAAACGCGATCCTAATCTACTGAAAAAACACTCAATCAAATCACACTATTAAAGGGTTATATTCATAGCAAATAAGAAAGCCCTGTAAAAAAGCTGATGTCATCCATATGAGATCACTAGAAATTGACATTAACTCCCAGAAATACACTCCTTGTGTAGTTAAAGTCAGAGAAATTAAATCTTTATGCAGGTAACCACTCTGAAATGCACCTTGCTAGCAAATGGCACTCTGAGATTTCAGCAAGTGTATTTTTATTTGTTAGTACACAGCATGATTAAGTGTTGTATTTGATAATGACAAGCAAATATTCAGTTCATTAACTCAACATTAAATTGTTCATCTCATTTGTATTTATACATGTGTTATTTCACTAGCTACACAGATTCTGTCAGCATGATGTTGTCACTTGGTGACCAAGTACTGCTTGCAAGGCTGGCTTTAGCTGCTCTGACAACTTCCAGATGGCAAGTGTCGCTCATCCCCTTCTAGCTTTAAGCACTATTTTTCTTTCATGCCACATAAAAAACCCCCAGTGAAATGGCATTACAAAATACATTGTTTCAGAACACGGAAAAATTCTCTGAGCTAATCAGATGTTAAAGCATTCTGTGAGTCATCTCAGAATTACACTCAACTATTTAAGCCAGTGACCAATAGAGCAAAGCAAGTATTTTCCGCCATGGAATTTCATTTTTATTTTAGATGCAGCCAGCCAAGCTGACAGAGAAATCTGCATTCGTGTTGCTAACCATGCAAAACAACTCAAGTCAGCAGGTCATTTTGCTAAAAGAATCAAGGAAAATGCTACTCAAAAAATACAATTTCACAAGCTTATGAAACACAAAAACTAAAAGGATAGCCATGCAAGCAGGCACCTCCTCTGTCTTACAAGCGTTTTGGAAAAGGGACATAGGAACCAACATAAAGATTGATTTTACACAGAATTAATAATTACTCTCCAGCACAAGGAGATATATAAAAATCCCACAAAATAAAGGACTATGTCACAAAATCAGCATTTCTTAGAAACAAGTACACAAATGTCAATTGCCTAGTGAGGGGTTTGGTTTAGAAACAATCTATCCCAAGAAAGTAAATCACCAACACCCCTAAACCATATCTGGAGTTACTTCCCATTTCAAAAGAATTCTTGAAACATTGTTAACTAATATTCCTAAAAATTACAAACTGGTTTCTGATTTTTGAAGTAGAAGTAAAGAGAAATTTGGAATTTCAATTGATGCTACAGGAGTGATAATACATAAAGATACAAGAGATCTGCATTACCATTCCATCTCCATTTTCCATAAACTACCATTTCTGACAGAGAGGCCCTTCATCTAAGATGAGCACACTCTCCACCTCCATGCCACGCCATCTATTATTTCTGCCCTATGCTGCAGTTCAGTACTCTTTCAAGTTGTGCCAACACTAGTGTTTTTAAGGATGTGCTGTAGAATGGGTTACTGAAATTTGGGTTAAAGCGGCACAGGGGTACGGGGAATGGGGGTTACGGTCAGTTCATCACACGTTGTTTCTGCCGCTTCTTTGTCCTCAAGGGGAGGACTCCTCTCATCGTTCCCCTGCTCCAGCATGGAGTCCCTCTCACGGGAGACAGTCCTTCACAAACTTCTCCAACATGAGTCTCTCCCACGGGCTACAGTCCTTCACAAACTGCTCCAGCGTGGGTCTCTCCCACGGGGTGCAGACCTTCAGGAGCAAACTGCTCCAGCATGGGGTCCCCCACGGGGTCACAAGTCCTGCCAGCAAACCTGCTC